TTCAGATTTTTTTATGAGCATTGCGATCTCTTAGGACTAGGATGAAGAGGTTCAACCTCATGAAAAGAAGCAAACATGGTCTATACTACTATTGGGAAGGGAAAAAAGAAAAAAAAGACAAAAAGAAATGAATAATAAGAAGAATCACACATGGCGTTCAGAGATAAGATCGCATGTGGCGCAATCGGGCGAATTCGGGATGCGGAAGATAAGACTTGCACGGGATGGAGCGGGGGGGAAACAAAAACGAAAAATAAATCTCCCCGACTGGGAGTCGAACCCAGGTCTCCCGCGCTTGTTCCCGAAAGGGATTGACAAGCGGAAATCATGACCGTTAGACCATCGAGGATTGGAGATATCGTCTGTCTCAATTTCTTGTCACATTATCTACCAGAAAAGCACTACATCATGAGCTGTAAATTAAGCTGCTGCTAACGTTATTACAATAACAAACACATGTCTTGAGTATTACTTGTCATATATAGACTATTTTGGGGCCGTTATTTACTGTAGTATGATAGTTTCGCTACAATATGCACATTTGTTTTGTTCTACCTTTCATTCGGAATATACCGTGGGGATATATATAGTTACAACCCGTCGTTCTAAGCTGAAGAATATCACGGCAGACTCAGGGTCTACAACTACTTCTAAGTCACCCTGTTTAGGCCATCTACCACGTCACCCCACACAGGGTACACCAATAATATTGAGTCATGCTACCATTTAGCCGGGCGCAATAGGTAAGTGGCTGCGCTTGTTCACCGTAATGGTAGCATATGCAACATGTGGGTTGACACTGGGCCTTGGCGACAGCAGTATGAGAACCGTAGAAGTGATCTATGTATGAGGCCCATGACTAGTGCTTCATAACATCAAAACGTATTGCGATGTTCGATAATCCAGTCTAGTGGTTACTTCTACCCTGGAGTCATTACAAATGGAGCGAAAGAGAGAATTCAAACTTTCAAATAATGTATAGTATTATTAGGATACAATACTAGAAAGGAGCGACAACCCAGCAATGACTGAGAATGCACACCTCGACTATTACACACTACTCCCCCAGCATTTTGGCTCAGATAAGAAACAAAGGGAATGAAGACAACAGAGCAAGAACATCACACGCTATGGAACAATTTCGAAACCCATCATCAAGTCGTTATTCGTCGCACCACCATATCACCCTTTACTCGATGGTGATCTTCTTCGAAGAAGGAGCAGCGGCCTTAGGCACGAAAATGGACAGGATGCCGTTCTTCAAGGAAGCCTTGACAGCGTCCTGGTCGACGCGAGTAGGGAAGGAGAAGGTGCGGTGGAACTCGCCAACGGAGCGCTCGCTGACCCAGTAGTGGTGCTTGGCCTTGGACCTGTTCTTGGAGACCTGCTTATCGCCCGAGGGGACGACAGCGCTGCCCTCGCCCTGGTTGTTGTTGTTGTTGTTGCTGTTCTCCGGGGCAGGAGTGTTCTGGGCCTCGTCATTGTCAGAGGAGTGGTATTCGCGCTCGGTGCGACCCTTGATCACGAGAGTCTGAGGGTCGGAGAACTCAATGTCAACGTCCTTCTGGGCGATGCCGGGCAGCTCACCATCGAGGTGGTAGCCATCCGAGGTCTCGCGGACGTCGAAGCGAGGCGCAAAGGTGCGAGCAGAAGTCACCGAGGAGCCTTGGCCGGAGCGGTGGAGATCATAGTCGTCCAGCAGGCGGAAGAGAGGGGCGAAGTCGCCAGCAGTAGGGATGGTTCGGAAGAGAGACATTGTGTCAGGTAGATTTATTATGATAGTAGTAGTGTTAGATGTAGTAGACGTTTGTTGCAATTGGTAGAGTGGATGCGATTGTTGTATTCGTAGTAGTAGTAGATGCTTGATGTCTGTTGCGATGATGAGGATCGACTGGAAGAGACCTCGAAGGGCCTTATATAGCTTTTGGACCCCATGGTGGTGACTGGTAGAGGCAGGTACCAGCTCGTAGGGGTAGCTGCTGGAGGAAGCTGGAAGCTCCGTGAACGATCGTTGGCACCACTGGCCCAGGATGGTTAGTGCCCGCCAGAGACAGCGGGAAGGCCCCAGGCACCCCCGGATGCTTCTGGCGGGTTCGACGCGTGGTCACGTGATTATTACCTGGTTTTGCCACCCGCCACAAGGGAGGGAGGGATGGAAGTCTACTAGATTCATTCCATCCACTACACTGTGTGCTGCTGCTGGTCATCGCGGGGGAGCAGCTGTCATGCCAACCCATTCCCCGCTCCTTTCCAGATTATTCCACTGGCGTGCATCCCTTCTGTGGTACAAACTACGAACCACAAACTACACGGTGCCACTGCAAGCTGTCGTCGGTCGCTTTCGTCATGGTGAAGCAATCATCCCTTCCAATTGTGCCAACTTGCGTTTGTCTCGCACATTCGCCCAGATTCGACGGATATCTGGAGCTCGATGTCAATAAAAAGGAAGTTTCGATGGTCGGAATCGCCACCTGAGTCTCAATTGAACTTTACGCAAATGATGGCGCGCCGGCCCGCTGGTTGACCATGTATAGCCACAAGCTGCAAAGGGTCGTGTTGAAACACCATATCATCAGCTATAGTGTGGTGATGATAGACAAAACCTGACTTTAGGGCCACACAGCAGTGCTGACTGTTTCCGTGAAAGGGCTGGCTTCCTGGCACGGTCTAGGGGCCCTTCCAGTGCAACAAAAGGCGAAGTAGGGTGGTCAGTGAATTGCCATGAGGTAGTGCAGATAGGAGGGTCACAAAGACCAAAGCGATAGAGATTCTGCGGGGTAGTCGCATCCTCCTTCTCAGCAAGCAGATTGCGGCCATGCGAGCCGTGAGTATAGCAAAGGGCAAGGTCTAGACTCCAGGGACTCCGGGTATGTCCCAACCAATGAACAGGGCTAGCTGGGTAAGAGGAGACGGTGTAGAGCTGTAGCGGCTGGACGGAAAATGGCACCGGAATGGTAACCCATGACGAAGGAAATAAGGAATACTACAATGTAGTACAGACATGTGAAAAATGTGCGTAGCATATATGAGGGGTCGGAGATCTTCTTGAACGAATTTCCAACACACCAAAGATCCATTCCAGAACAAACCCAAGTATACTAGGAACCAGTCGCTGTTATATCAACATGCCTTCCAACCAGATGAGCAAGTCGGATGCTTCCCGCATCCAGTCCACCCAAGTTAGCAGGTGCTGTATGCTGGCATAGATTACAAGCTCACAAAGCTACAGGCCCATGGTGGAAAAGATATGAGCTCTGGTGGCTTTGCTGCTCGAGCTCAAGGAGCTGCCGATCGCAATGCCAACGCTGCAGCATCCAGCACCCGTTCCTCTCAGGGCCCGTCATCGGGAACGCACCAAAGTGGCCAGCAGTCCACGCCCGGAAAGAGATGAGCTCGTGAAGTAGCACAAGATCTCACAATTTCGTATGGCCATGATATCATTATGGAACTTTTTAATTGGGTTCTGTCGTGAGCACACATGAATGCGAAGTTGGTTGTGCCTCGTACGACAGTTGTTGCGGGGTGCTTTTTCCGAGGGTGTCGGTATGTTCTTGACGCATTACCTACCAGAAATTAGTAAATGGAAGCTTGGAATTCTCAGAAGACTTACATATTGAACAAACTGGCGTTGGTGTGGCAGCCCATTCTCTGGGTTAAGAAGAGAAGCCTGTAGCCATAGTGCTGGTGCTAGGATGGAGGCAACACAAGGAGTTGTGCATTGACAGTGACACATTTTGCTTAGTAGGTGACGTAGATCTATCAAAATGTCGTGATGTATTAACCATTAATTGATATGGTCATAATAGAACAGGGCCGTAAACATGGCAATTCGCTGGGGACACCAAGGAAGAGCCGTGTCGGCCAAACATGGGTCATTCGTGTACACAATATGGGAAAGGATATCGCCTTAGTTGACGCCATTCAACATGCTGAGCATAATCATGTTCCACCCAAGCTCTGTAGACAGCCACTGGCTTCAGTGCCCATATGGAGGGGTGGTGGATACATTGTGCAGATCTTCAGGAGAGGCTTCTTCATGCGCAAGAGTCACATCTGTCGTAATCATAATGCCCATGTCTCGTTCGGAGTCGCCCGCGTAGCCCTGTGGTGGTGCCGGCAGGAAATCCATAATATGTTCCTGGCTCTCTCCCGACGAATTTCGCCGTTTTTTTGACCAGCCCATAGACGAGAGCTCGTACGGCTGAGGCTCACTGGTGCTGACCACCGTAACATCTCGACCCCCACTCTTGGAGTTGAAAAAGGTCGTTCGGCTTCGGTCCTTTTTATCGTATCCGCGGGAAGAACTGTAGGATGCAAACCACGAAAAGCGAGAGAGGAGAGGCTTGATCCCCGGGGCGCAGACGATGATGGCTGAGACAAAGGCCTGCCGTGATGCCCAGCCCAAAGCTGTAGCGAGAGTTGAGAGGTCTTTGACGGAGTAGTATGCTCGAAGAGCGGCAGCGATCATGACGAAGATGCCGGAGGAAAACAGACCCGTGAGAATCCACTTCTGAGACGTTGGAATTTTGGCGACGATAATCAGTGGAATTGGGACGCACATGATACAGAGATCAGTTCTGGTGCAATAAGTGAGCAAGCATAGATGATGGTCGGAGAATACTGCACTTACAAGATGCTTAAGACTTCGATGACGATGTAGTTCAATGGTCGCACAGTGCAGTTGTCTCGGATCGTGTTAATAGAGGAGGATAACCTGCAAGGCATTATAACTCACTTCCTGCATATGGCTTGACCTGCCAATTTTTCTCGATCGGCCTGCACATCAGAAGGTCGAAGAGCAGTGAGGTGACAAATGTGCAAATTGTGAAGGCGCCCACAGCCAAGGCTAGTCGGTGTTGCGAAAGACCGATCCTATAAGCTGTCAGACTTATGCCTATCCCTATCCCGAAGCAATGGGTCTAAGCTTAATGCTTACGTGAGTCTGTTGTAGAGAAACACAAGCACCCCCTTGAAAGACCACACCATAAGAATGTACGAAAGCCAGGCAAGAAACGCATAGATCGAGCCTTTGGTTAACGATGGGACCTGATCATCGGGTACCTCAGCGGCAGTGGTGTCATTGAGGCCTATATTGCTGCCATAGACAGCTAAGCATGGAGTATTAATGAACTAGTGTTAACCATTCAAGGTACGAATCGAATAAGCTTACCGGTGCACATATATAAGAATACAACAAGGAGAGTCCAGAAAATCTGATGCCAATTAGCCCGCTTTTCACTGCAAAAGGCATACTGGTCTCTGAAATCCTACCGTTCCAAGCACCAGGCACACATCGTCCCAGCGGAACATTCCACGGTCCACGGAGAAGCGCGTGTACAATCGAACTGCAATGACTACCAGCCCTATTGCCCATTCACTGAACATCTCTGCGGTGAGATTGTAGCCCATTTTTTTTTCGACAAAAGATCACCAAACGCAATGGGACTTGTGTGTATTGAGTGAAAGACAAAAAAGAACCACGGGATGAAATAACGGTCGGGGTTACGGAGACAATGTTGTATCCGAACGTTGCGACATGGTTGAAGCCCTTACCACACGGTCAAAAAAGGGGAAAGCAGTCAAGGGAAAGGAAATGGCGACAATGACCGTCGCTCTGCACTTTGCATCCAGTGACACAAACATAGCAGACTATCGGTTACCCAGCAAGGAAAAAGAAAACCCGCCTCATAGTTTCTCTGACTAGATTGGTGAAGCTGGAGTGGAGAGGGAATCCAACACACGCTATAGCAAAGGATTTAGCACTAGCCTTCCATCGCCAGACAAAGATGCTATCCACGCCCATCTGTGGCCGATTATCGTCAATGGATCCGGTTTCGGAAAGCCGCAGATCGCTCTCTCCCTCTCTCGCTGCTGCAAGAAGAATGCGAATCATACATAGCAGAACCTAACTAGTAGTTCCTCAACCATGGGTGAGGTCAGATTAAGCCTAACTTAAACGGCTACCGGTCGGAGTCAGCCAAACCTTGTAGGTTCTCATGCTTCATCGGACGGGATGAGGGACGTGCCATGCCAAGGGAAGGACTGTGGCAGGCGTCAGGGCAGCACCAAAATTGAGGTTGGCATGGACCACTAAATGCTTCCAAATTGTTGAGCGGTTCTAGAACGCCTGAGTAGTGGCAGGAGCACCGGACGCTCTTTGCGCCGAGGGGGTTGAAAGCTGAGGCCGACAGTGGACCCTAAGCATACACTGCTTGGTGCTTACGTACTGTATCCAAGCTGTATGAACTTAGGAAGAGCATCCAGGTGTTTGAGCCAGGTGGCAGGCGGCTCCATCGTGGGCTTGCCCACTCGTTCCGCCTCTAAAAAAGAAGAATATTAACATAAGGTTCCGTGGTCTGAGCCCTCCGCTGGATATAGTTTTTTTCTTAGTGACGAATAAGATTGGGACGTTGAATCCATCCGTCACCCCCGACACGGCATCGCTGCCTGCGATCGACGTTTGATTTACCAATCGGAATCATGGTCCGGTACATTCTCCACAGGAGTTTAAGGCTCTAGTATCAATTGTCGTCCCGTGTGAGGAGCGGGATCCGCACAGCGGTTGATCCATATCGGACTTGGCCCTGAATAGGAAAATGAGACCCACGAGAGCCGCGGAAGCATCTCTCCCCGGCGGACCGTCAAATGTTGCCCACCACAGGCGATGCTTGGACCAGGTTTCTACTGAATGGGAGAGAGGCTGAGATGTCAAGGAAGACGTGAAGATGGACCGAACAAGAACAAATCTACTACATATATACTATGGGAGATGATCCAGGTCCCTCAGGCGCTGTTTAATTGGTTAGCTAGCTATCGACACTGTATCGCAGTCAGCGAAGGATTGGCACTAAAACCGTAGCCTCTCTTTTCCCCTTCGAATATTCCCCACTAAACAGATCATTGGATATAGTCGTTTCGTATTATGTTATTTTTTCTCCCCCTTCATTTCGATTGTTCTCTTTGCGGACTCCTGGATAAGCTCTGTTCCACGCACATCCCAATGTCGTATTTCATCATCCTCGTATCAAATTTGCGTTAAAGTAACCAGTGAGGGATACTACTGCACGACTAGCTGGTAGGGATGTAGATCATAGCCGTGTCGACCAATTTTCTCTTCGACCGCGAAGCTCAGAACGTCAGGAGGTGCTGCGCAAAGATGCGGAATTGCAGGTGGTGGAGCCGATTTGGGGCAGCAAACGAGGGAAGATTAATGACGGGGCAATACTCCATACCAAGTACGAGACATCAGGGACATAGCATTATATCTTCTTGGCGCGGTATTGTGGTCCCCACTGCTCTCTGTTAAACGGTTGAGGCGTATTCCTTCTTAAACGGTGTTGGTACTTGCTAGTTAGTGATCGACGAAGTGGAAGGAATTGCACATAATGTCTGGCTCCAATGAGCTTAACCACCTGTCACTATCATCGGAGCGGGACCTAAAACTATTGACAGCCGGACCAAATGAACCGTCTTACTGGTGTTCAGCCAGGTCACCTCAGAATTAGCTCGCGTTGGCGAGGAACGCTACAGGATGCCACCCACCTGCCAGTTGGAAACCCTCCCGGACTGGACCTACTATTTTCACTACCCCCCGCTATGTCTGAAGCCTTGGTCAAGCGCACCCCGCAACAGGGAGGCGAAGGATTATAAAAGAAGGGGTGTCTCGAGTCGTCGATGGCCGTTCTTCCCACATCACCCTTCGCTATCTCAGAGCATGTTCTCTTGACACGATGAACACAGATTCACTCCAGAGTATTTGGACTGATGTCCAGTCGTCGCTGGAAGCTTTTCAGGCTGACGGAACTGAATATAACCGGATCGATGCTCTCGAGAAGGCAACCCAGCTGGCGAGAGCGCTGGAGAAACCTCGCGATGCGATTCTGAAACTAGCATATACGGTGAGTCAGTAGGCCCTGAACCGTTAGGTTACTTCAGATGAACGCCTATGCTAATGATGAAAAAGCCGACAGCCCTGATGGCTGTGAAGGTGGCTCACGACATGAAGGTGTTCCCTGTTTTGGCCAACGCAACGAGCCCAGTCCCCGTGAGCGAGCTTGCAGCGTTGAAGCCTGCGGATCCCCTCCTAGTCGGTATGTTCGAGACCTATGCTATGCATTGGTCAAGTAACTTCTGATGCTGACTGCTCGAACTATGCTAGAGCGAATGATGCGTCTCTGCGTGGCATTCGGCTTTGCCGATGAGCCGGTCCCCGGTGAGTATTTGCCGACCGCGGTGACCAAGGAGATGGTCAACCGAACGTCTGTTGGAGTGGTGGAGTCCTTGTAAGTAGCTATATGGGGAAGGGAAATTCAGTTGTTCGTGATGGTCACTAAGACGCAGCTTTGCATCAGGTTCTGCGAGTTCCTTCCCACCATCCAGAAGACCCCTGAATACCTTCAAGTCACCAACTACCGTAACCCCGAAGATCCTCTGTTTGCTCCCCTACAGTACACCAACAACATGAAAGAAGACGGATTCATGTGGCTCTGCCAGAATTCCGAAGCCCTAGCTCGGTTCAATAACTTTATGGAAGGCCAGCGTGCGGATCGCCCGCACTGGGCGGACTGGTTCCCTGTGCAAGATCGGGTATTGGTCGATGCTGACAGCAGCCCCGATCGGGCTTTGATTGTGGACATTGGTGGTGGCCGAGGCCATGACCTTCTGGGATTTAAGAAACGGTTCCCCAATGCACCAGGGAAGTTGGTGTTGGAGGATCTGCCGGTGGTGATCGACGAGGTGCGAGGGGCGCAGGACTTGGAAGGGGCTAACATTGTCCCCGTAAAGTACAACTTCTTCACGGAGCAGCAGCCCGTCAAAGGTGAGATCCTTCGTCTTTTCCAGTGTGCTTGAAAACGACTAGTAACCGACGAGGGTATGCAGGTGCTCGTGTCTACTACTTCAAGAATGTCATGCACGATTGGTCCGATGAGAAAGCCCGGATCATCCTCAACTATGTCGTGGAAGCGATGGAGCCGGGCTACTCCAAGCTAATCATGGAAGAATACATTGTACCCGACCAGAATGCTTCGGCGATTCACGGCATGACAGACGTGGCGGTGATGGTGTTTTGCTCGGGACTGGAACGGACAACGCAGCAGTGGACGCGGTTGCTGGACTCGGTGGGATTGCGAGTGAATAAATTCTGGACGCGCGCCGGCGATGGACTGGGAGTGGTCGAGGCTGAGCGGATCTGACCGAATAGAGAGACAGGAAAACATTTATATCCTGTTTAAATGAGAAACTGACTGATGGTCTATATTCATTCGTTGTCCACTCAGCAGCATGTACCCTTTACTCAAAGTAGATGTGTTGGATCATGCATCAAGAAAGTTCAGCGCCAGACATCGTTCTACGGATGCGAGCAAATGGATAGGGCTATTTTAGACCAGCATGGGATGATCATGGAGCGGGGGTTGGAAGAAGGTAATAGTGGAAGATTGCCAGTTCAGCAAATAAGGCATCAAGCCCACTGCAAGCTCTGCACCTAGTGTGATTGAACGCAGGAGATGCATGCATACTACACAGCCACGCCACCGGGCCTGGCGAGGCTGCAAGCTCAGCCGGTCGGGCATTTTTGGGCGCTATAACTGATCGCTCTCTCCCAACTTTCCACCACCGGCACAGAACTTTCTCTATATTTTCTCGCATGGAGCATCAACGACCACCCCCGAAGCGACGAAAACTCGACACCAGACACGCTCCCCAGCAACTTTTCCACGATGACTACACCATCGGCTGGGTATGTGCTCTTGCCATCGAGGCAGCAGCAGCAACAGCCATGCTGGATGAGATCCATCCTGCCTTGTCCATCCACCCGCGCGACAGCAACTCGTATACCTTCGGGTCCATCGGCCGTCACAATATCGTGATCGCTTGTCTCCCCGCCGGTGTCTACGGCACCACATCGGCAGCCACTGTCGCCAGCAACATGTTCATCAGTTTTAGATCGATCCGCCATCTACTTATGGTTGGGGTCGGAGGAGGGGCGCCTTCCGCCTCGACGGATATTCGGCTTGGGGATGTCGTGGTTAGCATCCCCACGCCCCGTTTCGAGGGCGTGGTGCAGTACGACTATGGCAAGAACCATTGGACAAGGGCACTTCGAACGAACAGGCACTCTAAACAAGCCGTCCACTTCCCTTCTGACGGCAGTCAGCAACCTTCGGGCGATGGACCTCCGCAGTGGCAGTCAGATACCCGTCCTGATGTCGCAGATGTTGGCGCGTAATCCGCAAATGGCGGAGACATTCACGTCCCCGGGCTGTCAGAGGGACCTCCTCTTTGCTCCAGACTATGAACATGACCCAGCGGGGCCGACATGCGAATTTTGCGACCGTGAAAAACTGGTGAGCCGGTCGACACGCAGCTCCGATCGGCCGGTTGTTCACTACGGCCTGGTCGCATCCGGAAACCAGGTCATCAAGCACGCACAAACGCGCGAACGACTGGCAGCGGAGCTCAATGTTCTTTGTTTCGAAATGGAGGCAGCCGGGCTGATGGACAATTTCCCCTGCCTGGTCATTCGAGGTGTTTCGGACTATTCAGACTCGCATAAAAATAAGGCGTGGCAGGGCTATGCGGCTGCAACCGCGGCTGCATATGCAAAGCAGCTTCTTGCTACGATCAGCGTTCCCAGCGCTGGAACTGTAGATGATCCTGCTAATCCTGGAGCAATCACGCCTGAGGAACACCGCGTATCGATGATGAATGCTCTGCGATTTGACCAACTTAAGAGCCGGCAAGCCACGATAAAGCCCGCGCATGCGAAAACCTGCAAGTGGCTTCTCGAGAAGCAGGAGTATTTGGATTGGCTGGACAGCAGTCGCTTCCCCGAGCACCGTGGCTTTCTCTGGATTAAGGGAAAGGCAGGGAGTGGCAAATCGACAATGATGAAGTTTGCGTTCCAACAGGCCGATGCAACTGTGAATGCAGAGACCGTGGTCATCTCTTTCTTCTTCAATGCCAGAGGTGAAGAATTGGAGAAATCCACATTGGGAATGTACCGATCCTTGTTAGTGCAATTGCTCGAAAAGGTCTCAAAACTCCAGATGCTTCTCGACGAACTTGACCCTAAGCGTTCAGAAGAGAAGGATCCTTGGTGTCATGAGATACTTCAGCACATCCTTCGCCAGTCCATCTCACTGCTCAGCGGTCGGCGTGTCATCTGCTTCATTGATGCCCTGGATGAATGTGAAGAAGAAGAGGTCCGCGCCATGATTGACTCTATTCAATCCCTCGGAGAGCATGCAATTTCGACAAGGGTTCAGCTTCATGTCTGCTTCTCAAGTCGTCACTACCCCCATATTGCCATCGAGAAGGGACTGGAACTGATCCTCGAGGACCAGCAAGGTCACGCTGATGATATTACTCGATACCTTCACAGCGAACTCAAGATTGGGCGCAGTAAGCAAGCCGAGGAGATCCGACGCGAGATACATGACAAGGCCTCGGGAATATTTTTATGGATGGTGCTTGTTGTGCAGATCTTAAACCGCGAATCTCAGCGTGGTCGCTTGCATGTCCTCCGCAAGAGACTTCGTGAGATTCCGGCCAAATTTAGTGATCTTTTCAAAGATATACTGACAAGGGATACTGTGAACAGGGAAGATCTCTTACTGATTCTTCAGTGGATATTATTCGCTAGAAGACCACTCAAACGAGAGGAGCTGTATTTTGCCATCCTTTCTGCCGATCCCGACAACTTGACGGAGGCCTGGGACCCTGAAGACATAACTGAGCAGGACATGGATCGATTCATTTTGCACTCCTCCAAAGGGCTAGCTGAGACGACCAAGTCAGGGGAGAAGACCGTTCAATTTATCCATGAGTCTGTCAGAGACTTTCTACTGAAGGACAACGGGTTGCGAGAGCTCTGGCCTGAGCACCAGGGTGATTTCGAGGCTTCAAGCCATGATCGACTGAAGAAGTGTTGTAACAACACCCTCCTTTCAGAAGCTGGCAACCATGTTCCACAGGAGCACTATACTGCATGTGTTTCGAGTGAAGACCTCAGCACCCTACGAGACGCTATTTCTCGGAAGTCCCCGTTTCTTCAATATGCAGTACACAATGTCCCTCAGCATTCTGAAGCTGCACAGTCGGGTGGAATCTGCCAGGAGTGTTTCCTTGGAACATTCAAATTCTCCCACTGGAAGCGCTGCAGCAGCGCCTTCGAGATGTACAAAATCCGTCATCACACGGAATCTACATGCCTTCTTTATATTCTTGCGAAATATGACCTATCGGATCTGGTTCAGTTGGTTTGTGAAGGCAAGCCATGTGTTTCTATACCGAGCGGGCGTGACCTTGCCTTTCTGGTTTTTTATGCAGTCAAGAATGTTGATAAAAAACTTCTCGATTACATTAACCGATGCCATCTGCAGGATGCTCTAGCTTCCCCTACAGCTTGGATTGAAATGGCGCTCCGGTATACCATCCAGTTCGGCCGCAAGGTCATGTTCGCGGATCTCTTGACCAATGCGAATATTAACTTCAACCCGAAACGCCATTCGCATTATGCCATCCAATACGGCCGTGACTCTATGTTCGAACGATTGTTAGCTATGCGCGAGGTTGACCCAAATGCACATGATGTGAATGGCGACACGCCTTTGCATTACGCCATTCGATATGGACAAGAACATATGTTCACCAAGCTTCTCACTATGACTCAGATTGGTTTGAGTGCTCAGAACAAGGCTAATCAAGCCCTGCTACAATGTGCCATAAAAATGGAGGGGAGAACATGTTCGATTTGCTGATGACGAGAGGGATTGCCGATAACACTGGTCTTTTGTTCTCCGCTATCGAGCGGAATGATGAGCTTGTGTTCAATCGACTGTTGGCACCACAGTGTATTGATAACAATGCCTTGAACAGAAACAAAAAGACGCCGTTGATACGGGCAACCGAAGGCTCAAAATTCCCCATGATCCAGTCGCTATTGGATTTGAGCTGCAAGGAGGTAAGTGTTGTGGTCCCCAACCCCCCTTTCCAGAAATTCCCATGTGTATAGCGTTAAGCTAAAGCCTATGATCAAATCTCGCCAGGGTGCCCTCTTAGACGGGGTTTGGAACAAACTACCCTCCACTAAGCAGTAAGTATCAGATGGGGTGAGATTGTAGAGCCATTGATTACTACAGATGACCTCTTCTCCCACTTGAATAGGCCGTGCGCAGAAGCCGTACTGCTCTACGCTGCATGGAGTGGTCACAAGACACTCATCAATTAAATCCTAGCTACAGGGATGTCTAATTCAAACGCCAAGGCCATGGATGGGCCCACAGCACTTGCATACGCCGCACCTAGAGGCTACGAAAACACTGTTACGCCGCTACTCTCGACAGAAAGAATCAATGTCGATGCAGCAGATTCACTCGGAATCACGCCACTCATGTATGCCACTCATGCACGCTGCCACTAGCGGCCACGCAGCTGTTGTTTACATCTGTCTACAGGAAATGCCAACCCTGACTATAAAGACATGTTTAGGTTAACGTCCTTGTCTGAAGCCGCACTATATGGTCATGAAGACGTGGTACGTCGGTTACTTGCAATCCGAAGAGCTAGTTTTCTCCCCGAGTATGTTGGGGGACGAAAAGCATTTTTGGCGGCAAAGGCTTATCAGCACGATAGGATTGTGAAGATACTGGAGGACTGGTTAACAATTTCCCCTCACTTCGAACAAAGATCAACTGCATGAATCACGTAAGAAATCTCTTTTATTTCTGCTTATATACATGAAAAAACATTATGAGGGTTGAAGGCCGCTTTCCAAACATATTCCTCTCGTTTATCATGACCCAGCAGCGGACATACAATTTGATAGAAGACTTGGTCACACGGAAATTGAGAACGGAAGTTGTACTGCGCTATGAATAGGAAGGGGAAAAGTGGCATACCATAACTTAGCGTTGAACCAAATATCGTGATTGCAAGTGGAACGGGACGTCAACTTGGCCGCGCGCAATGTGAGGTCATCGACTCTGCTCCAGGTAATATTGCCTTATTTGGAATGCCGTTTTAGAGCAACTAGCTCTGTAACATAAGGGAAAACGACTTTCGTTTTGTCTCTGTAAGCGCTTGAAGATGTCTAGCATTTTTGGTAAGCTTAGCTCCCACGGTTGTGCTGCCCCCGGATCGTTCGAGTTGAAGCTCGTAGTTTCATCCTGTGGGCAAAAGTCGCCGAAGTAACCGATTGCACGTCCTCCAAACTCTCATGTTCTCCCATACAGCATGGACGTAGAGGGAAGTTATCGACCAAAGAGAGGCCATAATATCATTAATACAGAGTCTTATTCTACAACAATGGATGCAAGTGAATGTAGCCGGTGACAATTAGACAGTATAGTCTGCCAAAAGCACCTGTCGCAAGTATAGATCCATTTCCATAGATAAGGGCTACTATTTTGAAAGCCTAATCATCTACAAGTCCGTGCGCAGCTCATCGTGGCCTTTCTTCTTTCCGCTTTTCTTGTCGTTGATGATGTTATCGGTAATCTTTTCGGCGAACATGACTGCATTATGTTAGTGTCCCAAGTTCCATTGGTAGGTAGCTGGTGTGTAAGAGGTAAACTTACAGGCAGGGGCAAGAGGCAGACCGGGGGGCAGGAAAGGGAATGCCGAAGGATCGACAACTCGGACTGAAGAGAAGTAGACAGATTAGCCAACCGTTTTCACCTGATAATCGCAAGGGAAGGAAAGAAGAGAAAAGATAGTGACCTACCATTGTCTAATCCCATGATTGAACCCCGACTATCCACGACGGCATTCGGGTCATCCTTACGACCCATGCGCAGGGTGGCCGCCGGGTGATGCATCGAACGGAAGCTGTTCTTCAAGGCATGCTCAACTTCAGCCCAGGTGGCGGCTTCAGGGCCCGGAGCAAACTCATCGCCGATAATGATGGGCTCCATGGCTGGGTTTTCAAAGATCCGACGCATGTATTTGAGCGATGCAATTGACACTTCCAGATCGGTCGTGCTGGTGAGCCAGTGCGGGTGCACATCAGGCTTATCGCTCATCTTGGTGGAGCTGAGAGTAATATTTCCCACTGACATGGAAGTCATAGGAACGCCCATCAGGGAGGCATAGTTGTAGCCATCGTCTGGGTAGTCATGACCCAGCGGGAAGGAAACGACAATAAGTTCGGGCCAGTCCTTGGGCAAGGAACCCAGGTCTTCGAAAGCCCCGTCAGTAAACCCATCTAAAGTGTGATAGAAAACAAGAGCATCTAGCACGTACCTGCTTTGGTCGATGACGAGAAGTTTCGCAGATCGCTGGGGATATCCACAATACCTCCAAAGTCGGGACCACAATTGGTCATCATGCCGGTGACGCTGTCTTTGAACAGATCTTCTTCATGCCAGCGCTTCTCATCATCCAACAGAATTGAGCTGGTTGGCGTTTTCACCCGATAGGCGACTGCGAAGACAATGTGATCGTGCATGTTTTGGCCCACCGCATCATTTTTTAGGACTGGATCAATGTTCAACTCTTGCAATTGTTTGGTTGGCCCAACACCTGAGACCATAAGGAGTTGCGGGGAGAGTACACCACCACCAGCCAGAACCAATTCGTTCTTCGTCTCGATGGTGAATTGCTCAATTGACCGGGGACCGCCGGACTTGTTGGGAATTTCGCGGGTGACGGCCACTCCCGTGGCCTTGGTCCCATCGAACTGAATCTTTTCGGCGAGGGTGAAGGTGAAGATATCGAGCTTCTTCTTTGGCGGCGGGGCATTCTTGACGTAGGCTGTCCAGGAGGTGCTCCGGGTGCCATCGGTGCTGTTGATGGTGTCTAGGATCCAGCTGGAGCCAAGAAGCTCGCCATTGGCATAACTCAGGGTATGCTTGACCCCCAGAGCATCAAAGGCCTTGGCCAACCAAGTGCTGAAGGGGTGCACCCAGCGCGGGTAGGTAATCTCCAGAGGCCCAGTGCCCTTGAGGCTGGGATCATACTCGGGTGTAGCATTGGCCAAGCGCGTAGTGGAATTAGGAGGAGTAAACTTGATGGACTTGTCGAAATATTCCTCTGTATTGGGGTAGGTCCAGGACTGATCTCCAACCTCATCGGCCCATTTTTGCATGGCTCCGTAGGTTGGACGCAGGTAACCAAAATAGGAGAATGCATGACTGCCACCAATCTGTCTCAACAGTCAGATCAATATTGTAACAGTTCATAGAAGTAATGGCATAGCCGGGGAGATTACTGACCATCTTTCCACCAGTGAAGTTCAAGGCGCGGTTATTGGTTTCCTATGCAATGAGGAGTCAGTACTCTGCTGTATGATGGAAAGACGGGATTGGGTCTGGGGTGAAGGGCTAATTCTCATACCGGCGTCCCGGGGATCTCCCACCAATGTTCCACATCATCACGGGGAGGAGTGTTGCTGTTGTCAAAGAGTTCTGTATATCCAGGAACTTGACTCAGGTTGCCTGTCATCTCCTCATAATAACCGCCCCGCTCCACGACGGCCACATTGTAATGTTCAGCCAGGCGGCCGGCTGCGATGAGGCCAGTTACTCCGCCACCGACTACCACGTAGTCATATGGCTCCGTCGGCTGGGGTGGGTTTTGATCCGCCTCGGGGCCCAGGTACTCCTGCAAGACCGGCCGGCGATGGTAGATATACGGGGTGGCCACCGCCGGACTGAGGCAGAGTGAGAAAAGGACGGCAGACTGCAGATGAGACCGCATCTTGCTTCAGGGAGGATCCTATTTTCGGTTCGAATGGCTAATTGACTGATCTAACAGCATTCTCCCGACGGCCCTCTATATACATACTATCTGATGAAAGTCATGGAAATAGTCATGATGGATAGCGACTGGAACAATTGGACTCAATGACGACTTCACAGCCAGCCAAATATCGCGTCAAGGTTCCATCCGGACCAGAACGGCATACTGTCTGCGATGGAGACTCGCCAATCTGGATGGGGAATGGGAAATGTTGGCCACACGACGTTTCGCAACTGAAAGCTGTCATCAGTAGGCCACAACAACCATTGCCTTGTCACCCAAGATACCTAGATGGGGCCATAGAGTATAGACCTCAGAGGTCTAAATGTAACTCGTCGGTTGGCGCGCCAGTGATGGAGCGGAACGTGGAGAAGCATATCTTGTTCGATATTGATAGTGAAGTCGCTCGACTTCTGGACTAGGCCTACCCACGGACATGTCAACAAGTCATGGCGTCAAGGACGAGTTGAAGGTTGTGCCAGCAGAGTCTTAGTACTCGGTCCGCGGAGAGAATGAGGTGGATCAGGGTTACATGACGTGAGATTCAAGGTTGCTTTCGGTCCGCTCCCGTGAGCCTAGTCGTACCTTGCCAGGTCGACTCATCCGCGGATACATCAATCAAAAAGGAGTCTAGTCTAATCCAAGGCGGTAGAAACTAGATTCATACATTTTTCAACTGTTTGAAGGAAATGAAACGTCGGCGGTATGCAACCTGAATTCAACAAACTCTCTCTCCCCAAGTGTGGCCCTGAACCAGGAAGTGCTATCAAAAGACCCATACAGCGGGGATCTTCAAATGGAAGACGTCAAGAGGATACATGTATGAGATCAGAAAGCGACAATGACGTGGAGAGCTACGTGATTGACTAGGGATTTGAGTTGACATGCCAAAAGGTTTCATCACGACTGATCTTGTCATTCAAATTAGACATACTACTTCACTATTTGCATCAACAGGAAAGACGCCTTTCAGGAGAAACAGGCCGGCCCCGGTGGCCTATGGAGACACAACCAATTATGTTTTAGTTCCCAAAAGCAACGAAACACTCAACTCAAAAACAAACATAGTACTAGCTTCTAAGCAGTCCCCATCCACAAGTCTCTCAAATAATTTTCATCCACAGGAGGGCAAGCCACAAGATCCTTCTTGTCTGCCAGTAAGGCATTTGCCTTGCGGCAGTTTAGAGCAAACATGTTGTGTCCATTGAGGAAATAGTTTCGCAAAGTCTCGAGACGCAGCTGCTCATCTTCGCCGACCGCCTGCTCCAGCGCCTCGAGCCAGCCCTCCACGCTCAGGGAGCGAGCGCTGTGGCCATCACCTCGAATGGCTGCTGCCAACCTTGGCAATTGGTCAAGCGAGAGGGGCTTGGGGTTGGTAATGTGGAGGACCTCCAGCCCGGCGGGTCGAGTAGTGTCGTGCACCGCGGTTAGATGGCCCAATACGTCCGCGAGATAGTTGACGGGAATGAAATCGACCACGAAAGGAACATCAGACGTGCCGGCCTGAGGGACGACCCCATGACGCACCATGTCCATAACCATACCACGCACGATGTCCTGGTCGGAGGAAGGGACGCCAGTCACGGTGTTGCCCGAGATGGCTGACGAACGGTAGATGGTGACGGGGAACCCACGCGCTGCGGCCCGCGTGAGGAGCATCTCAGTGGCCCAGCGGGTCTTGAA